GCTGACACAGATTAGCTGTATGGTGAAAGAAACCTTACAATGGTGTTGCCTGAGCTTGACATGCTCAGTGCATAGACGTAAGACTTTGATTGCCAGGTTGTCAATGTGGCAGCTTTCGCAAGCATAATCTTGACTAAGGCTCCAGTCCAGCAAAACACTTAAATATATACTTACCTTTTAAGTGTGTGTGTATATATATATATATAAAAATATAGTCTGACTCCAGTGAAGACACCGGGACTCCTCACATGCTTATTTTAGGGCGTCTCTACACATGGAGTTATTCTGGAATAGCTATTCTAGAATAACTCCATGTGTGGACACTCTTATTCCAGAATAAGAGTGCCCTTTTCCAAATTATCTGTGGCTAGGTCTACACTACAGCGGGGGGTCGACCTAAGATACGCAACTTCAGCTACGTGAATAGCGTAGCTGAAGTGGCATATTTTAGGTCGACTTACCTGGCTGTGAGGACGGCGGCAAGTCGACCGCTGCCGCGCCGCCGTCGACTCCGCTACCGCCTCTTGCCGCGGTGGATTTCCGGAGTCGACGGCAGAGCCATCAGGGATCGATTTTATCGCGTCTTCACTAGACGCGATAAGTCGATCCCCAATAGACCGATTGCTACCCGCCGATCCGGCGGGTAGTGAAGATGTGCCCTGTGAAAGTGGAAGTGTTCTGGAATAGCTATTCTGCTTTAAATTCAAACCCTACCTTATTCTGGAAGAGCTTGCATGTGTAGACAACTGCCCACAAATGGTCTGAATGAAATCATGGGGGCACCCACAAAGTCATGTCAGGTACGTACTACTCAGTGTGAGTACGGGTGACAAAATCTGGCCCTTAGACACAGAGAATGGGATTTTCAAAGCCACGAGGGGTTTCATTTGAATGGAAATTGAGTGTTCACTGCCCCTTAGGAAGCTTTTAAAAGCTCAATCTTAAAATACACTTTGTTAGAGAAATGTTTCTTTTCTATTGACTAATGTTTACTCTTTTCTCCTTGAGACCTTACTTCTATTTTGCATTTGTATGTTAAAACGATTTCACTAACCTGAGCATAGGGCAATGGCAGTAGAAAGCAGAAAGCCCTGGTAGGATTTATTTTCCTATTAGTATATAGTTTTTAATTGACATGAAGTTCTGCTGGGAAACCAATCCGTGCAAAAGCCCATTTCCTTTAAATTTCCAAAGCTTTTCAATGTGCTTATGATAATTTAAAGAGCTGTCAACTGGTGCACTACACTAAGGGAATAAAGGCTGCCAAATGATAGGAGAAGGTATTAGGAGATTTGTAGCTTTGTAGAATTGTGATGGTTAATTTGCCTCCATCTTTCACTAAAATAAGAGATGGAGAGGGTTTAAATATCATCAAGTCTCACTACATAGCTCTCTTACAAACAGTTCCAGTCAAATATTCATCTCCAGACTTATAAAAACCTCTCCTTAAAACACATTATATAGTGTAATGACACAGGGATCATCTTGTGGATGATTGAACCCAAAATTTCTGGATCTCAAAACAAGAGCTAAACGACCAACTCCTTAAGCCTATATGGTATAGATCTATTGAAGTACCATGTATAAAAAGGCAATACTTCAGTTGCCAAGGAGTCATTCAGATGCCACTGTGATGAGTATGGCACAAATGCCTAGGCCCTAGACAGATAGAGGAGGGGGAAAAAAGCTACCTAATTCCAATTACCAAAAGTGCAAAATAAGAATTGATCAAGTTGCAAGGTCCATTTTAAACGTTTTTACATTTCATGAGTAATGTTCTTAATCCACAATCCTGATGTTGCTGAGGTGAGTTCTCTCTTTTATAAAGACCATCTGTGAGTTACATGCACACAGGTGCATATCAAGAGTACTCTAATCTATATACACCATAAACTATAAGGAATTGGTCCTTCAGCTCAAATGGTCGAGGCTCTTCTATTTAGATCTGGAACTCCTAGGCTCAATGGATTTGGCATCCTAGCTCTCTTAGGCCCCTTTGAAATTCCCGCCCACTGTTTTCAAACAATGGAAAGTCCATATTTTAAAAAGCTGTGGGCCCAGTGCTCCATGCTCCCCTTCCTCCAGCACAACAGAGACATCTTTGAAGAATTTCAATGGTGGAAAGGGGGCAGGTGAGTCAGCAGGTCTCCAGCCTATTCTCCACCTCCCCAAACCTACACAGCATAGCATGTAAGTTACTGCAACCATGGGGCCAGTGCCAAGTACATGACAGAAAAGCAGCATAACTTACTGCATATTCTTGGTCACACCTTGCCCCACTTATGCTGATGTAAATCTTCAGCTTCAATGGAATTACTCTGGAGTATGCAGGGAGTTATGCGGCTTCTTCCTCATCCCTGTGGAACACTCCACATGCCTCCTGTGGTTCAGGGATCTAGGGTCAGCAGGAAGCCAGAGTGAAGAGTGGGAGAACACAATGCAGTGTGAAAGAAAGAAAGAATTCTCTGTGCGGATGCCCTAGGGCTATAGTGGTGTTCCCAAAATCCATACAGATCTAGAGGATCCAAACACTGATCCCCTGAATCTGCCCTCAGAGAAGAATGGAAAGGAAGCTCTGAGGTGGGTATCACATAAGTCCTTTACCCACAGATGGGAATAACCGGCACAGGGAATTTGGCTTTTTGCTTGAGTAAACTGGAAGCTGCAATTAATTTACCCAAGTTGGGATATTCAAAGGAAAAGGCTGAAACTCCATCCTTAGGCTAAATCTTGTTTGCCTTACTCATGCAGATAGCCCTGCTACCCTCAATGAGACTGCTTGTGTGAGATAAGCAGGATAGGGTCTCCTGCTCCTTCACTCATGCTCCCAGCAATGTGCAATATCTGATGCTCCAGAGAAGGCAAATAAGCAACAAAACACTTTGCCTACCTATCTGCACAGTGTATGTGAGTAATATTCCTTCCTGACCCAGGAGGTGATTAGCTGATGTCCTGAAGCATGAGATTCAAGTGCCCGTATCTTAACATACATAAAAACAAATGTTATTACTGGTCATAAAATTATCCAGCCCTTTTAAAAATCCAGTGACTTTAATTAATTTTATGACCTCCTGCAGAAGAGAAATTCCATAGGCTAACTCAACCCATTGAGATAAATTTCCTGATGTTATGAAAGGTATGGGCTGCAAATTCTAGATGAAGTGTAATGAATTAAGGATGGCATTTCAGCTCTAACATTTGCCAGCTTGTGCCAAGATGTTAATGTTAATTACATTCAGGTCTTGTTTTGTTTTACTGCAGCTGGGTCTCTGCTCTGTGTTCACTTTTATTGGTAGTAGGAATACAGACATTAGGTGTTTTACAGATCTCTGATTTCCCTCTCTGAAGCATGTTGAGCATTGCTATAAACATAGCCATGGTTAAGCTTGCTCAGGCTACAGAATATACTGCAATGACCGATGGCAGGTTGGGGTGAGATCAGCAACTAAGTGAGGTTAAATGAGCCTTCCCCGCGTGCTGCTTGTGATCACTATATGAACATGACTGCAGCAAGGGAGGTCTAGGTTGGACATTAGGAAAAAGTTCCTAACTGTCAGGGTGGTTAAACACTGGAATAAATTGCCTAGGGAGGTTGTGGAATCTCCATCTCTGGAGATATTTAAAAGTAGGTTAGATAAATGTCTATCAGGGATGGTCTAGACAGTATTTGGTCCTGCCATGAGGGCAGGGGACTGGACTCGATGACCTCTCGAGGTCCCTTCCAGTCCTAGAATCTATGAATCTATGAATCTATGACAAAGCACACGTCTGTGACATTATGAAAGGGAGGAATCCAGTCAGGATATTGGATCAGTGTGTGAATGTATTTATTCTCATATTGTATTACGAAACTATCCTGATTTCACCATGGGAGAGCTGTTTTAAGGTGAGAAGTAACAGGCAAAGTATAGAAGAGCATTGCCATTTGCCTACTTCAGGATTTGTTAAATATTAAGAAATCTGAGAATGTCCCCATCTGGGGTTGTTCTAAATAAATCTAGTTTCTGAAATTATGCATTCCATTTTAAAGCCTGATCCAAAGCTCACTGAGGCCAGTGAAGAGACTATTGACTTTAGATCAGGTCCTGGGTCAGGAGGAGAGAAGCTGAATGTTGCAATGTTATTAACCCTTTGTGGAAGAAAACAGAGCAGCCAGCCCTCTATACCTCTCAGGATGGTTATACAGCTCCCCCTTTTCTCTGCTTTCTCCTATTTTACATTTTGTCATCTTTTATTCTCTTGGATTTGTGCAAGATGCCAGCTAGTGTGGGCAGCTCCCCACTCTGCTCCAGGCATCTCTGCAGTGTGCTGAGATGTTGTGAATGGAGATGGGGAAACACTTTAGTGGGCAGAGAAAAATGCAACTGAGGTGACATGCTGTATTCAAAAAGATGTCAAAAAACTGTCACTTCGGGAGAGTGCTGCTCCCAAAATGCAGATCTCTCTCTGTCAGGGGGAGAAGGAATATCTCCATCCAGAAGTGTGAGCAAACCTTGGGCAACCATATCTAACGGATTAAAACTGAAACACCTCTCTACGTCTTTGAAGAGCAGTGAGTGCAGTACACAGTTGTTAGGAGACATTAAACTGACCTGTATACATTTCCTTGCCACTGAAGGGATCAGGGACATGAAGTGCAAGTGTGTCTGATTGATACAATCTCTTCTTTAAAACATGCTCAATGCAAGGATCACTCTAAAACCTCCCATTTATCACTGTGGTCACAAACTTTAATCTCTGTTTCCTGGCCTTCCATGTCTGGGATTTGATTCCTCTTCCCGGTGGATGGGGAAGAGTTCTTTTTGCACCGGGATAGGGAACTGGATTTATATGCATGCGGAAACCCACACTAATTGTCTAATTAACAGGTATAAGAGGTGAGGGAGAGTGACAGTAAAGTATAAACATGTCCCTACAAGCTAAGTTGGATCATACATCAAAAACCAGAGCGGCACATTCAGATCACCCCCTTCTCCTTAATGCAGAATTAGGAATCTTACCTGATAGGCATCTAGCTGTTCATCAGTAAATATCGTTTGCTTATTACCCATCTTAAATGAGGAATTCTCCCTTTGTGCAAATGCATCACATAAGAAGTTGCAAGAGTCCTCAGTACTGTAGGCATTTAGAGCATATACACTTCGTGATCGTGCTGAAGAAATCCCCAAGCCCGCATTGAACTGCACTTGCCTGCACCTGTCCGGCTAGCAAGAAGCAATGAAGTCGTTTCTGGGAACCTTGGCAAAGGTTGGTTTTTGATGTGCTAGGAGGGAGAAGGTTAAAATCCCAGGCAGGTGTCACCCAGAAATGGTGGTGCCATCGTCCTTTCCCCTGTGTTTTCCTCGAGCACAATACAGGGCTTGTGTGGCGTGAAAACTGATGAGGAGCATCCAGTGTCAGAAGGAAACCAGCTCTCTGCTGCCCCGGTCTCTGTCTCTCCGCGGCACTCCCTCTCTGTAACTTCCCGGTGTAAGAGTAGCTCTGCACCACTAGGTGTCGCCCGATAACCCATTTATATTCCGCAGGAGGCCAGCAAGAGAGGCTGGCTGGGTTGCTCCAGTCCATCAGGGACAGGACCCAAGTGTGGATTTTTATTGCGGGGAAATGCTGCCATGCGCTGGGTTCAGCTAAAAGTCAAGGGAAATACAGGAACAAGGTGTAATGAGGAACATGGGGTGCTGCAGGCAACATGCTCAGTGTACTAAGAACAATAACCGGAGATAAAAAATATCTTGGCCATCTTACTGTAAGTGGAATGGGCTTCTGGCCAAACTACAACTAGCTTGTCTGAGACTGCGGCTGAAAAATGACCCCCTGGACACTCCAGCAGAATGGGATCCACTCCCCCTCCTTCTTCCCCCCGACACAAACTCTCTGTCAGAGACGATAATCCAGCCTGCTTCAGAACAATCTTAACTGAATGAAGACTGCATAGAGACAATGTGGGTGAGGCAATATTTTTTATTGGACCAATTTCTGTTGGTGAGAGACACGTTTTACAGTTTCTTCCTGAAGAAGCACTCTGTGTAAGCTGGAAAGCGTCTCTCTCTCACCAACAGAAGTTGGTCCAATGAAAAATATTACATCTAATATCCTGGGACCTACATAGCTACACCACCACTGCATACAATAATGTATATAGACAGGCAGCAATGCCTAGTGGTTAGAACAAGGCACCAAGGCTGACCCTAGACCAAATGGTGCCCTCTCCCTTTGTTAAACTTTTGGATACCTTACTTCTGTTGCATTTGTAGCCCATTTCACGACTTTGATGCACGATTTGCATGCATGATTTATCCCTGTCATATAAGACAATAAATTTGCACACAAATCGTGCATCAAAGTCATAAAACAAAAACAGCACCCCGACCCCAATGCCTCCAAAGCCTGGCACCTCAGGCAGTTGCCTGGGTCACTTGCCCCTAAAACTGGCCCTGCAAGGCACTAAGGGAACCAAGGTATCTGAAGTCAGATTCTCCCCCCACTACAAATCCCCGTCTATCCCTGGTTCAGGGTATGACCTGTGACACATCATCTATGCTCACAGGACATTTGGCAGCCAGGAAAGCTATCAGGGCTGCTCTAATCTGTTCTGGAAGGGGACGGCATTGCAAAGTATGTTGCATCCCCTACAGTCTCTGAGCCAGGCTCAGTACCAGCACAACACAGAGAAAATCAGGGCTTTGATGGATAGCAAACAGAATTTCTCGGTCTGGTGGCCTTATGTGAAATACTGTAAATTGGTGGTCACTCCCTAATGGACACCAGTTCATAGAAAAAAGGCATCACAACCACTGGCAGTGACAGCAGAAGCCAAGGACTGAATTCATTATGGAGAGTGAACCCTTTTCTCACCCTTGCAGATGTTCCCTCCAGATCATGGTTGAAATACACTGGTTAGGCCAGGGGTGAGCAAACTTTTTGGTCTGAGGGCCACATCTGGGAATAGAAATTGTATGGTGGGCCATGAATGCTCACAAAATTGGGGTTGGGGTGCGGGAGGGGGTGAGGGCCCTAGTTGGGGGAGAGGGCTCTGAGGTGGGGCCAGAAATGAGGAGTTCGGGGTGCAGGAGGGGACTGAGGGGGAGGTTTGTGGGGGCAGGGTGAGTGCTCTGGCTGGGGTGGGGCTGGGGATGAGGAGTTTGGGCAATAGGAGGGTGCTCGGGGCTGGGATTGAGGGGTTTGGAGGTAGGGAGGGGTATCGGGGTTGGGGCAGGGGGTTGGGGTGCAGGGAGAGGCCCGGAAGCAGCAGTCTCTGGGTGGCGCTTACCTCAAGCAGCTCCTGGAAGCAGCAGCATGTCCCTTTTCCAGCGCCTATGCAGAGGCACGACCAGGTGGCTATGCATGCTGCCCCAGCTGCAGGCACCACCCCTGCAGCTCCCATTGGCTGCAGTTCCCTGAGAGCTGCAGGGGCGGTACGTGGGGCAGGGGAAGTGTGCAGAGCGGAGCCTCCTGGCTGCCCCTAAGCGTAGGAGCCAGAGGGGGGCCATGCCACTGCTTCCAGGAGCCGTGTGGAGCAGCCCCCGACCCTGCTCCCCAGCTGAAGTGCAGGAGCAGGACAAGCCCCAGATCCCACTCCCCAGCAGGAGCTCGAGAGTTGGCTTAAAATGGGTGGCGGGCCGGATCCGGCCTGCGGGCCATAGTTTGCCCACCCCTAGGTTAGGCAGTGGGGAGTAGCTTGCACAGATACTTCCTTTACTGCATTTATTTTATTGGTTAATATAAAACCTCAGTCTCCAAGTCTATTAATCCAGCACCTTTACCCAGCACTGAAATTCACTAAACTATATTTAACAGATAGCGGTGAAAGCACATTGCATATCATGAGGTCTGACTTCATGGGTCCAATATTAACAATGTTCCTGACCCAGACCCCTCCTAGGGCTCTTCCCCTCCCTGTAGAGACCCAATTACCCAGGCCTGATAGCTGGGCTGGGTGCTGGAAATAAGATTTGCCTTGGTAATAACGACTGGAAACGGGAAACAATCTATAATAGTAGCATTAAAAGTAAATGTATCAAAACTGTAGTAAACAAGCTCTGGGAGTTCCTGAACCATATGATGTTCCAAGGCAGACAATTAATTCAGATCATGATGAGTAGGAATGCAAGACTAGATTCACTGGAATACAGTATCAGTCTATTGCGGTGCTTTAAAGGTATAAGACAGTACCGCATTTTTACAAGTTAATGGTTTGAGTTTAGCAGATGGCAATGCATTTGCCAAAACTTATTAATGAGAACCAAACAACAGTGGCAGACATCTGAATTTTAATACTGAAAACATAGCAGTCTAATGATCAAACAATATATAGTTGAGTTGTTTGGAAATATTAAAGGAAGAAGCTAGAATAACATGACCTGTTCCCTGACCTAGTGTAAGTGCTGAGTTAAGTGCTGCAGAGATCTGGCATGTGATAAAGACCCACTAGAAAATCAGAGGGTTGAACCTGCTGCACCTGGTATATGGCAAAACTGACCTTTATTGTTCTGACTGCAAATTATTTTTATTTCTTCAAGGTGCAATGAGATCAAATCCTTCTTTCCCCCAAAAAATCACTAGTATCAACAAGAAATGGCAAGAACAAAGATTGCAAAATACATTGTCGGGGTGGCCCAGCTTTAAGCCACATCAGTAAACTTAAGTCGAGGGTGCTCAGCATTTCTGAAAAGCAGGCCCTAAGAGACTCTAGCTGCCTCAAATTGGGCATCCAAAAATTAGGGCATCCAAATTTGGTGGATACTTCTGAAAATCTGGGTCTTAATTTAATCTGAATCTCTGTACCTCAGGTTTCCCCTTCTATAAAATGGGAAAAATGATACTTACCCACCTTTATAAAGATCTTTGAGAACTATGGATGAAAGCGCTAAGTATCTCCAAGTATACCTGTTAACCTCACATCTAAACATCCTGGTTGAAGTATTAGCAAGAATAGTGTCTGTTAATCAGACAGTGTTTTATGGAGGCTGGGAAGAATTTGTTAGTAGGTGCAACTTACCAAATGATAATGTCTGTTCTCCACATGGTCTCATTCAGAGGTCTGTATTATGCTTGTAAACTAGTACTAGTGGGCATTTCTCACATATGTTTGGAAAAGTTGTAAAACTGGCTTTGGTTGAGAATTATATTTTGAGGATAAATAGAAACCAATATAGCCAACTCTGAGCTTCTATAACAGTTTGTGAAAGGAGATCCAGGAGAGGAAGTAACTAGGAGGACAGCCATTTTGGATTTGATTCTGACCAACAGGGAGGAATTGGTAGCAAATCTGAAGGTGGAAGACAATTTGGGTGAAGTGGTCATAAAATGTTAGATTTCATGATTCCAAGGAAGGGAAAGAGTGAGAGCAGCAGAATAAGGAAAATGGATTTCAAAAAGTCAGACTAACAAACTCAGAGAGCTGGCAGGTAAGATCCCATGGGAAGAAAATTTAAGGGAACAAGGAATTCAGGAGAGCTGGCAGTTTCTCAAGATGACAATATTAAAGGCATAACTGCAAACTATCCTGATGCGAAGGAAAGACGGGACAAATAGTAAGAGGCCAATATGGCTCCATCAGGAGCTCTTTTATAACCTGAAAGTCAAAAGGGAATCCTACAAAAAATGGAAACAAGGACAAATTGCCAAGGAAGAGTACAAAAGAATAGCACACGTGTGTAGGAACAAAATCAGAATGGCTAAGGCACAAAATGAGTTACACCTAGCAAGGGACATAAAAGGCAGTTAAGAGGATCTTTAAATACATTAGGAGAAGAGAAAAACAAAGGAAAGTGTAGGTCCTCTACTTAGCAGGGAAGGAGAGCTAATAACTGATGACATCAAGAAAGCTGAGGAGTTTAATGCCTATGTTCTTATTTTGCTTCAGCTTTCACTAATAACATTAACAGTGACTAGATACTCAACACAATGAATATCAATAACAAGGGGGAAGGAATTCAAGCCAAGATAGGGAAAGAACAGGTTAAAAACTATTTAGATAACTTAGATGTACTCGAGTTGGCAGGATCTGATGAAATTCATCCTAGAGTACTTCCTTAATTAGCTAAAAACAATCTCAGAACCACTACCAGTTATCTTTGAGAACTCCTGGAAGGAGGATGAAGCCCCAGAAGACTGGCAAAGAGCAAACATAATACCTATCTTTAAAAAGGGTAGGAAAGAGGACCCTCAGAATTATAGACCAGTCATCTTAACTTCAATACCTGGAAAGATACTGGAACAAATTATTAATCAATTTGTAGGCATCTGGAGTAGAATAGAGCTACAAAGACTAGCCAGTATGGATCTGTCAAGAACAAATCATGCCATACTGA